AGGTTGCCTTTGAGAGTGTATGGTAACCCAGGAATGATAATTACCCCCATGATGGCATACCATTTGTAAAAGAAGACAACCCAAGGTATTGCAAATGGGGTATGTTCAGCCTTTTTTAGTAGCCACTTAGTCACAAACACTGGCCAAAGTTAGCATTTTTTGCATGTTTAACACACAAACAAAAATAAATGCTAACTTTGGTCAGTGTTTGTGACTAAGTGGCTACTAAAAAAGACTGGACATACCCCATTTTGAATACCCTGGGCTGTCTACTTTAAAAAAATATGTGAGGTGTAATTCAGAGAATTATGACAGATAACGGTGTTATAATGTCACTATTGATAAATTTTAAATATATATATATTGAAATAGCAATTTCCTACTTGTATTTATAGGCATATAACTTGCAAAAAAAAAGCAATAAAGCATGTAAACACTGGGTGTTTTTAAACTCGGGACAACATTTTTAATCTATTTAGCAGATTTTTCAAGTAAAAGTCCAAAAACGTGTTTGTTTTTCAATTTTTCACCATTTTTTTTTTTTTTTTATAAAATATATGACATGATACAAATAATGGTATGTAAAAAAAGCCCTTCTTTTCCTGAAAAAGAAAAAAAGATATAACTTGTATGGGAACCGTAAATGAGAGAGCGGAAAATTACAGCTAAACACAAACACCACAAAAGTGTCAAAACTGCTCTGGTCCTTAACGTAGAACATCGCAAAAACAGGCCGGTCCTTAAGGGGTTAAACTACAATAAAATAAATAATTCTACATGACATTTGTTGTACACATTATTATTAAAGTGTCCCTCTTTGTTTATTTAAAATGTTCGAAGGTATGCTTTTCAGTAAGAAATGCTGCTCATAATGAGATATAGAACTTTGCAGCCAGCCCAGAATCACGGCCGGTGCAAGGATTTTTGGCGCCCTATTCAAAAAATCGTTGCTGCCCCTAGACCAAAATTTTTTTCTGTGTGTGTATGTGTGCAAACACACATACACACACACACACACACTGACCCATAAAGGCACACACACTGACCCATACAGACACACATGCACACACACACTGACCCATACAGACACAGATAGACATAAACACACTGACCCATACAGACACAGATAGACATAAACACACTGACCCATACACACACACACACCGACCAATGCAGACACACACAGTGACCCATGCAGACACACACAGTAACCCATACAGACAGACACATGCACACTGACCCATGAAGACACACACTGACCCATACACACACACACACTGACCCATACAGACACACACATACACACATTGACCCATGCAGACTGACAAACGGACACACACACACACACTGGCTTACGCAGGCTGATACACACACACACACACACACACACACTGACCCAAGCAGGCTGACATACACAAACAAACTGACCAAAGCTTGAGTTATCTCTTTATGAACATCCATATTTATTAAGTCCATGCAAACAATATAATAGTTAAAGGGAAAGGCTTCCCTGACTCATTATTATTAACATTCACCAGTCTGTCTAATTGGCAAGAGGAAATGGGAGATGGCTTTATGATAAGCCACTTCATAAATTTCTCTCACAGACTTGGTTAGAAAGTATGTTGTCCAAAAAGGCAGTAGGTAAATTATGTGCAAAGAATTATTCACATATAAAGTGACCCACCAATTCTGTAAATCTGTAATTTAGAGAACCAATTCCTGCTATAAACAGTCACCTTAAGACGATGGCATACTGCAATCACTGAATACGGAACAATCAAACATTTTGCCAAAATCTCATCAATGCCATTTATCAAGGTTACATTTATTAGGTTCCACCAAAAGATTCTAAACTGAAATGTGGGGATACTGGATAGCCACATGTATTAACATCAAAACTTTGACTATGACCTTTCTAGTGAAATTATCACTAGAATCCATGATGATAACACATCCCTACTATTATTAGGAACACACATGGTTACATCTGATTTATTCTTAATGTTGAAATTAATCTTTTGAGGATCCACAATATTGGACATTGTAAAAGGAGGCTGATACACACACTGGCCCATACAAACACACATATACACACACACAGACACACACTGACCCATACAAAACACACATACACACACTGATTAATGCAAACATACACACACACACTGACCAATAAAGACACATACACATGCACATACACACTGATCAATACAGAAACATACACATGCACATACACAATGTCCCATGCAGAATTCTGTTTTTTTTTTTAAACGTGTGCTTTACAGGAGAACTGTCACTTCTCCGGTAATTTTTTGCCCTTTCTTGGCACCATTAATCCCAATGCCTGGGCAAGATGCAGGCGAGAGCACAGTAGGATTCTGGGATATGCAGAACTTCAGCAAGAATGAGTAATACAGATCTAGTACTTTGACATGAATCTTTCCTCAATACTTTTGCTGGTAAGCAATGCACAACTGTAGACATCTGGATATAAGACTAGAATGTAAAGAAATATGAATTATAGTTTATACGAGAGAGAGACAAAAACTAGAGCATTTTAATATAATGCATTAAGCCATAATGAAAAAATAAAGACCCACAATGACTGATTATTGCCAATCATAATCTAAAATCTTCATAATTATTCCTGCATCGATTCGATGCCATATGATAATTAATAGGAAACAAACTAAAGAAATATAAATGCTATATTTAGAATTGACTTAATATTTTTATGAAGTGAGTTAATACAGAATCAAAAAGTTCAAGAACAGCCAAAAACATGGCAAAGTCTAAAAACCAATAAATAGAAAACAACACCAGCAACTCCTTAATTGATTGTATTGTGACCAATGTCCTTTCTTGAGATTAAAGTGACATTTTATTGGAGCATAGAAACATAGAATGTGACGGCAGATAAGAACCATTCGGCCCATCTAGTCTGCCCAATTTTCTAAATACTTTCATTAGTCCCTGGCCTTATCTTATAGTTAGAATAGCCTTATGCCTATCCCACGCATGCTTAAACTCCTTTACTGTGTTAACCTCTACCTCTTCAGCTGGAAGGCTATTCCATGCATCCACAACCCTCTCAGTAAAGTAATACTTCCTGATATTATTTTTAAACTTTTGTCCCTCTAATTTAAGACTATGTCCTCTTGTCGTGGTAGAAGATGCGAAGCCCAGATGAATGGAGTCAGAAGTTACTTGTGTTTCACATAAATTGTTAACCAGTGACCTGGACACCATCCCATTACCTTTGCAAACACCCTGTGGATTCTGAAAGTAGCAAAGCTTTCTGCATGTTAGACACAGATCGCAGAAATATTAATGTAAAATTTTCATGTAGCAAAAACCGTAGGAAGCCAGGAGGTTGGTGACATTTAGTGTTTGTAGATCACAGTTCCTATTTGAATAGCTGAGAATGGTGGAAAATGTAGTCCACAAGAGTGGGAGTCCCAAAGTTTATGCGTTAATGCCGGAGACATCATGAATACATTGTCATTTATTGACTGACAGAAGTTTAATAATCCATCCTCGACAATGAAAAGATGAATATATAAAAATATATTGTAGGCAAAGTTCTGAGAAGGAAGATGAACACAACAACGCAACAAAAGGCAATGTATAAATAACTATGTGGGCAAAATAACGACCATGGAAATCAACAAATTGTCACTGTCAACAAACTGTTTTTATAAATAACCTATGTTTTCTGTAGCCATCATGTTTATTCTTGTAAAATACAATAAAATATGTTCTAGTGCTTAATATCTTCCATCATATCGAAACTCAAGGTGCCACGCATTATTTAACCCCTTAATGGACACATGACGGAACTATTCCGTCATGATTCCCTTTTATTCCAGAAGTTGTGTCCTTAAGAGGTTAAAGCACACACACATACAAAAAAATATATTTGGGACATACGTACGTAGAAAAGCTGAAGTTACTGAAGGAACTGTCATTTTGCCGTAATTTACATCACCACTAAAACATTGAAAATCACCTAGAACTTGCGTTATATCATAATCCAGTATTCAAACATGGCAAAATCAGGGCAAATATTGTAAAAGAAGCACAGAGATAGAAACACTGTTTAATTTCTCCTCTCCTCTGTTGGCTTTCGAAGTTTTATTTCATTTATTTTTTTTTTTTACAATTTACAAATAGATATTTATTAAATATAGGGACATATATATACATATAATAAACAAGCGACAGTTCCTCTTTAAAATTAAAATACTCGAAAGATAATTCATACATATATAACGAAATCAATTACTGAAAGTAGAACGCTATAATCATTAGTCAGTGGTTAGCCTATAAGTATCGTAAAACACCAAGAGGAATCCTGAGGTGTTGCTAGGTGACATTGCTAGGAGCTTTAGCCCACAGGTAAATGTCATAGCTCCTCCCCCATATATTAAATCCCTTCTTAAACCCTATATTGCACCCCAAATCCAACCTTAATCCCTCACAATTTCTATAAATCACACTGTGACACCAAATCTTTGAATTAATTCAGAGTACTATAAAAACTTATATTTCTAAACTGTAAAAATGCTGTGTTAACCCCAAATATATGTCAGGGCTCCAGTCACTAGCAGTCCAAACCCCACAGAAATGCCCCTGGTGGATTATAAAGCCAAAATATGATCTAGCTCAGGGGTAGGCAACCTTCAGGACTCCAGATATTGTAGACTACATCCCCCGTAATGCTCTTATACCCATAATGCTGGCATTACACCCAAAGGCAACTTTTACTGGAAAAAAAAGAGTTAAGTTTGAGTTGCAGATCAACCTTGCTAAGCTAAACTGATGCACTGGTGGCTCGCTGACTAAACCGCAAAGATAGTTAAGAAGAAACCCAATTTCTTGGGGACATTTCAAATCAATATTTTAAAGGCTTCCTTTGCCCATAACCTTTTACCAATATCACTGGTTCCTTGCTGTGTATATATAAACTGTAAGTGATTACCTTTCTTTCAGAAGTTGTGGCTTCACCCAAGGGATTCTCGGTGTTTGGATCCTCACTGGTTGTGTATCCATTGGAACAATCTAAGCCTGCAAGCTAGAAGAGGACATTTGCAAATGAACATAGATATATGTATGGCATGAAAATGACTGAACAAGTTTAACTGATGTTCAGCTTTTTTTACAGCAGTAGCAGAATATGTTTTGGAAATTGTCATTCAGATCTGCACATTTCTCCATCAACATACTTTATTAATCTCATGTTAAATTATAAATATAAACAAAAGAAAAATAAACAAAGGTCATGCAAAAAGTGGGTGGGAAGCACCTGCCTTGTGTTCCAGGGTGTAACCTCAGTCTAATGGTCCCATTCTCTTATGGGAGTCTTTCGGTTGATGGAAGCCAAAAGACGGCGAAACACATTTCTGGAACTACAACAAGGACTCCACAATAGATATTGGTATTTTATATGGCACTTTTTATTATTTTGTATTGTTGGTAACTATTAATAGAAGTAAAAGGTTTTTTTAAAAATATCTACTGTCTGGAGTCCTGCATTCTTAAAGAAGATGATGTGGTTCTTAACCACATAAAGCTTTCATACTGAGCCAGGCTGTAGACTCTATCTTTTTGAGTATAATAAGTACCATCAACAATTATAGTCATAATAATAATAATAATAACAATATACAAGTTATATATTCTGTAGAATTTCAATATTTTGCACATTTCCTTTCCCCTGGAAGTAACATGGTTTTAATTATAATTGTTGCACAGAAAAGGAGAGGGAGTGCCCAAAACGGACCAAAAGGTTCTACACACCAGAGCTAGGTGCATTAGCTCTCGCTACTGTAAGTGTTCCATGAGCACCTTCATTTCTAAAAATATACTTTAAGGTTTTACAGTATTCTATCAATCGTAATATCCATTCATTTTATTGTACACCAATCACATGATTATTGCTCTTTAAAGGTTATATGGCATTCCACGGTTCATTGATTCTTCACGTGGCTGTGTGATTTTTTTTATTTAGAATTACACATACAGTGTGGTAGCAGCTGTAAGCACATACCGTATATACTCATCTATAAGTCGATCTCGTGTATAAGTCAAATGCAGTTTTTTGACCAACAATTGTGAAATATGCTATGAATCGTGGATAAGTTGAGGGTATCTTATTCGAATGGAATTGTTCGGTTTCTGTTCAGTTACCGAACAGTCTCGTGTGTTCCCCCTTGTTAACACCTCGTAATCACCGACCACCCCTGGCTGTTAACCAAAAACAAGCATTCCCTGAGTGGCTGCCATTCGTATATACAAACGCACGTGTTGTCTCCTGAATGCAGGCAGCGGTACATAGTCATCAACGGCATGGATCTCTGAGTCGGTTACGCAAGCCCCTGAACCCCGCTGAAACTTGTACCCCTGCCCGTTCGACTTCCTGACCAGCTAGGAGAATGCCATTCAGGAGTCGACATTGCCCCGCATTAGACTCCCAGACGCTGTTCAACTCCTGAACGCTGTTTGACTCCTGAACGCCATACAAAATTCTATTGAAACTAGCACTGACCCCTGGATAAGTCGACTCTGCTTTTTAAAATGACATTTAAGACTAAAATTTATCGACTTATACACGGGTATATACAGCCTTTTTGACACACAATATTTTGGCTGTCTTTCGTTTTGTGTCTGTCAGTTTCCCATTAGTATTACCACATTGTAACTACCTTCTAAGATAAACTTCCTTTCCTCTATTACACCCATTTTTACCACCGTCAGGCGATGTTTGTAGTTAATGGAATTCTCTTTCTATCTGTTATATAAATGCGAGGGTGACATCACGCCATAAATTAAAAACCATAATGCCCGGGGAATGTAAATATGTGATCTTTGTACCTTAAATAAGATTCTTTAATTGATCTTTTCTATCAAATTTGTATTGCTTAACCTGCAAGGTTATCTATGTTTATTGTATTATTTTTTTTTCATAAAAATGTATTTAAAAAATGCAAGATGTGAATACCTGCATCCATAGGGGCTACTAATCTACATGAAGTGACAGAGCAAGGGCAATCAGGGCGAGGTACACTTCCAAGAATGTATCTGCCAATAATGTCAAGCAGCATGGGGACATGTATGCACACTAACCGTAGGCCTAGTCCTAATCTCTATCTTAAAAAGTAGCATATCAAATACATAATGCTGAAGCATATATTAGGGGAAATAATGTTAATCTGAATTAGGGAGACATTCATAAAATACCAGCAGGCTTATTCACAAAACTGAGAATTGCCAGAAATTCTAAATTATTTCAAATTTAAGGTAGATTTTTTTTAATATTTTTTTTATTTTTGATATGCAGGTGAGTACAACAGTCCCAGCATTGCCACAACCGCATTCCCAGGCTCAGTCGTTATAAGCAAACAAAAGTTATGGCATCTTTGAGTGTGCTCTTTTTTTGTATTAATAAATTAAAGTTTTAAACCTAGTGTAACTTAACAGAAGTGTAGTAAGGTACGAGGTGAAACGTTGCCTGATCCACCTTGTACTTGCAGGTGAGTAGCTAAGATTATGGATGCAAACCTTCCATTCTATTGTGTTGTAAGGCAAGAGCCTGGGAGCAGTTAATATGTCTTCGGGTTGTTCCGTGTTCTAGTAACGTGCATACACTAGGGCGGCCTGAGGCAGTAGTGGGGGTTGGTAGATGTTAAACTGGTTCAATAATAGTCTATGCCATGATAATATTCAAAATGTTCAGCTTGTTTATAGACAGCAGAATATTATGGAGCTGATGATGACCTGTAGACTGTAATAAAGTCTGAGTGTCATTGTCACATGGTCCTAGGGGGAAGTCCTTCAGCTGTTCCTCACCACCAGCATCACCCATTGCATCCTCCATGCCATGCTGTGGTTGTCCATACTTCCAGGTTTGGAGCTCTGGCCTCAGTGTCTGCTCTTATATGCTAAAATGAAACTCTTATACCTTACATCATTTATAGAATCAGGAGGAGGCCCTTATTGTGAACAGGGAACCTCTTTAAAATATATGAGCACAGAGTACAGTGCTTGTTTATTGTTACCTGGAGTGCTGCTCCTTTGCCTGGCTTAACCCAGGCACTGTTCTTACCCTACATACCTGCCTTCTGGTCTTTCCCTGCTGCCAGTGCCAATGGGTCTCCCGTCTACATTGAACTTGGCTATGTTTACCCATTCATAAACCTTTGCTGCCTGCCCTGACCTTGGATGTACTGACTGACTTCCTTTTTTCCTATTCTGCTTAAACACCTTGCTTGGACTAAAGACCATGTGCCACCATAGATTTCCTAGGACCCTCTCCTCACTTCACCTAGGTTCACCTAGAGGTCGTGCTTGCAAGGATATGATGTCACTTTTATTGTGTTCCAGCTCCTAATCAGCCTACCAGGTCAGTGACAGTCATTAGGGCAAAGAATGTGACTAGTGTTTGATGGGTTCTAATTATGCAAGTATCTTTACACAGAAGGAGAAAATGACACAACCTGTATTCTGCATTTCAGTTTTAATTAATGCTTAGATTACATTTATTACTAAAATAATAATAATAATAATTGAAAACAGTGCAATTCATATTAAAGTTGACACCCTGTGTAAGAAACAGAAATTGGAATGTTGATTGTTATGTTTTGGTTAAAGCTTAATTGAGCTCTAAATTCAGTAAATTGACTTGACAATTTTACAAATTTCTATATTTAATTTAACAGTATAAATACATCAAGTTTAAACTTTCATAAATCCCTGAAACTGTTCTTGATCCAAAAGCATATTCATCACATCACTCAGATGGCAAATAAACCAGGTTTCGTGTTAGTTTGAAAGGACACTACAGGCTGGAGCTGATTATTTTTGAATTTAAAAAAAATGCAAAAACAATAATATAAAATTAAAGGGACACTATAGTCACCAAAGCAACTTTAGCTTAGTGAAGCGTTTTTTTGTGTGAATAGATCATACATCTGCAGTCTCACTGCTCAATTATTTGTCATTTAGAAGTGAAATCACTTGTGTTTCTGTTTATACAGTCCTAGCTTTGACTGACACAGCCTGCATGAAAAAATGGCGTAAGTGCAAGCCGTCGTGGGGATTCCCTGCTCTGGTGCGCATGGTCTATGTTTGGGGAAACTTCCCTGAACATAGACAAACACACGAGAGCAGGGAATCCCTCTAATCTATATTCAGAGAAATTTCCATGGGCATAGATTAGAGGAATTCCCTGCTCTGGTGCGTTCGTCTATGTTCGGGGATGCTTCCCCAAACATAGAAAAGCGCACAGGTCAGGGGATCCCTCAAATCTATGTTCAGAGAAATTTCCTCAAACATAGATTAGATGGGTCCCTGCTCTGGTGTGTTCGTCTATGTTCGGGGAAGTTTCCTTGAACATAGACGAACACACCAGATCAGGGAATCCCTTAACTCCTCACTTACCGACCAATTCGTTATAGGAACAGAACCTGGTCAGTAAGTGAGGAGTGTCTGTAAGTTTTTATCTCCTGCAGCTCTGTAAATTGACCTTTAATCACACACAGGAGGCTCCTGCAGGGTCTAGCAAGCTATTAACAGGACAGGAGACAAGAAATTCTAAATTAAACATAATTTGCAATAAAGGAAGTCTAAACATTACGTCTCTCTTTAGTGTTTAGGACGTCTGTGCAAGTCACATATAAGAAGATTTAACTCCTAAATAGCAGAGAATTCAGCAGCAAGACTGCCGGGGCATGATCTGTACATCAAAACCACTAATTAAGTTGTTTTGGTGACTATAGTGTCCCTTTGATAAAAATATAACTACATTTGAAATTCCAGCATTTGTAGTAAAACTCAAAGCTGCCCAGCCTCTGCTGGGGGTTTTAATTATACAAGTCACTCAGCTAATCATACTTATGGATACAGCAAAGGTTTCTGGGAATTGTAGTTCCATTATATTAAAGGGAAACTATAGTCACCAAAACAACTTTAGCTTAATGAAGCAGTTTTAATGTATGTGAATTTTGCAGTGAATTTTCACTGCTCAATTCTCTGCCATTTAGGAGTTAACCCACTTTTGTTTCCATTTACAGCAGCCCTAGCTGTGACTGACACAGCCTGCATAAAAACAAAATAGTTTCAATTTCAATAGGATGTCGCTTACTTTAAAAGTTGTTATCTCCTGCTCTGTAAACTGAGCTTTAATTACATACAGGAGGCTCCTGTAGGGTCTAGCAAGCTAGTAACACAGCAGGAGATAAATTCGAAATCTAACAGAATTTGCAATAAAGCAAGTGTAAACATTAGATGACTCTTTACAGGAAGAGTCCCTTTAAGCTAACAGATGAAGTACAACTGCCAGACAACCAAGTCTTCACATTGTAAACAGCAATATGCTTGCAGAAAAAAAGACAAACACTATGTTCGGAGGGAGGGATGAAAGGAAAAAATGAATTGCATTTAAAAGGACATTTAATTTTGATAAAGACGTTACATATGTTTAACTGGCAGTGGTTCTTGTTTACACATGTTATCGCATGCTACTGTAGTTTATTTTACAAATATGTCACAAATAAACCGCCATAGAGGATCTTTTTTTGTAATGCAGTGTCTGATTGCTGCAGGATTATTAATACATAATTCTATTGTGCATTGTGATTTAAAGTCCCAGCTCCACTAAAAAAGATTTTCTAACCAGGTTTTGGCTTTTGCTATATTGTTACTACCCAGTTCATTAGTTCTAGAATTCATACAGCTGAATATAAATTTGAAAATCACATATAACTTGTGTTAACCTTTTATTCATGAGGTGCTCTGTTTTCCATTAAATTTATATTAAGAATTTGACTGGGTCACATTGCGAATGACTAGATTAGCAGCATTATTAACTTAAGTAAGAATTCAAAGTGAATTTCAAATTTAAGGGCAGAGTAGTTAAACTTAAACAATAGTGGGCTTACAGAATTTCTCCAGTTCGGCTACTTTGACCTGCACTTTAAAATTCACTTGAATTTACCTTGAAGTCTTACTTTGATAACCTTGATTGAAACAATTTTCAAATGTTCTCTTCCCTGTATACTTTCTATATGCTGACTGCCAGGTGCAAAGGACAGAGCTTAAAACAATGGCTGACAGGGAGCTAAATGGAGGCACCCAGTTACAGGATAAAGACAATGGATTCATACATTTTATTTTATTTATTCCAACTCACAAATGCACATTTGATAAATACAACAGACAAGTAATCTTAATACTAAAAAATCGGTGAAGTAACAGTTCCCCTTTAACTCATCCGTGTTTGTGTGTCGATGTGAAGTTATGTTTTGTAACGGACCGTTTTTTTTATTTGTTTTTTTTTATAATTCTTTATCTTTGTGTGCATATGATTAACAGACAGTTGTACAATGCCCAGCAGCATTTGCAAGACAGTTAACGACAAAGCATAATAGTTACAGGGCATTTGGATACACTGCACAATTTTTTATATGCAATGTAAAGTACAGGCTACACATAACATGCCTAGATTAACTATTAAGAAAGATACTAAGCTATGCAAAGTCATAGACATGGTAATAAAAGTATTAAGGTAGGTTGTGAAACATGCTTATGTTACTGAGATATTGTGTTCAAGAACTAATTTCTATGATGAGCTAGCTCTGTATTAAGTTACACTAAGCAGCTGTAAACTCAGCCGGCGATAGCTAGTTAGCTTGAGTGCCACTGGGGTTCACCTCGCCAGTCAGGTAGTTAAACTAAAGAGAAAAGAGAAGAGCATAAAAGAAAAGGCAGAGAGGTGAAAGCAATATGGAGAGGCAATATGCCCCTGCATTAACGGGAGTGGCTGGTGATTAACAGGAGGACTATGTCTCAGGTCTACCCCAAACCACGTGTAGGCCAGGCTAGATAGTCTGTAGCCCTGCTTGGACTAGTATCGGTATGTGCCTCCATGTTGTGCTCTCCCTTCAGCCAGGCTTCCTGCTTGCTTGTCTGCAGTAGTGTGCTGTGCCCGGGCTCTGAAGCTCCTGAATGCCATGCTTTAATGGGAGCTTTATCAGCATCTCCAGGGATCTTCCTGCGGCGTGCGGTAGGTTTGCGGACCCGTGAGATCTTCGGAGTGCGGAGCGCACATCGTGAGATCGGCGATCAGTAAGTAGTGCCTCCACGTGGGTTCCCGATTCGCCTCCCGAATTCTTGACATAGCTGTTCAAAGCGTGTGTCAAAGTTTTCCCTCCAAGTCTGAAGTGACATGCTCTCCAGTAAGGGAGCATGTTGAGGTACAGCGACCATGTTGGGTCTGCCATGTGGTGTTTAGGCCACTTGGAGATTCTGTAGCAGGGGAGCGGTGAGTGCCTCCAGTAGAGTGCACGTCCGGCCATCTTGGCTAGTAACGGACCGTTTTGCCCACAAGAGGTTAAAAACCGTTTAGGCGATATTCCCCTTTCAGATGCACAGACAGCTACTGCAATCACCAATCTCCCGAACTGGAGACACACGAATACTGGAAACAGCTGAACAGGAAAAACCTTATGCAAGGTTTACACTCCTGGCAGTCAGCATACCATCCAATTCCCCCAATAACGAGACGACACTTCGTTTGAGGGTTAAGCAGAATATATTTACTGGCACCAAAAGAACCTTCTTTTATGCAGGTTTCCCTTAGATAGGACCACCCACAGGGTTTTACAAAACAACCAATCATACACGTACATTACAGAAACACTCCCTGCAATTACATACAAAAATCCTCCCCTCTGCCTGTGATCTAATTATGTTACACAATGGTTTCTCATAATTAACACAGGCAGTAAAAATACAGTTTTACACATATCCTGTAACTTTAAAACCACACATCAAATCTCCAAAAATGACATTTTCAGAATCAGCAAACTCCAAATACAAACATATGTCAAAATCATCCAAATTGGTCCATTGGTTCAAAAGATAGATCGAAGTCCTTTGTGACCAAATGAAGCATGGCTTTTCTGCTCAAAACCAGTTCCACAGAGTCTTCTATCCTGGAGATAATTGGGAAGTAATCCAATTATCTCCAAGGACAGAGGGAAAACTCCATTAAGCACATGGCAGTAAAAAGACAGTAAAATACAATAAAATACACCAGGTTACATTTATAACATAGAACATACACATTCTACCTATCCCCAGATAGCTTAGATCTGAGCGCACATTATTACCGGATGGCGCTCAGATTACGTACATACAGTTCAATCGCCATGGATATCTGGGGTAGCATGGCTTTAACAGTCTGCAGAAAGGCACGAATACGCTTTTCTGCAGGGAAAATAAAAGGTTTTAACTGCTGGGCCATCAGGGCCGTCTTTACCGCGGGGCAAACGGGGCAGCTGCCCCGGGCCCAGTTACTCTTGGGGGCCCGAAGCAGCTGCACCGTGGGCCCCGCTGACCTCAAGCATTTTTCCCAACTGCCGGTGCAGCCACGCAGCCGGTGGGCTTCTGTCAGCAGGGGCCCGGTCTTGCGCTCTGGCGCTTTAAGAGCGCGACCAGGCCCTCTTGCTTTTCGGCAGCCGGCTAGGAGGAAGTGACGGCTGCACGTCACTTCCTCCCATAGAGAGAGGAGCGCGCGGGAGGAGGAAGAGGAAGAGCGGTGGGGGTCTGCGCCGAGCTAGCCAGACCCCAACTCCCAGCAGCTTCAGCCACTGGTAGGAAAGTCACCCTCCAACGTAGAAAGGGTGGGTTTAATAGTGTAAATTTTGCATGTGTATCTGTGAATGTGTCAGTATGTCTGTCAGTGTGTGTGTCAGTATGTCTGTCAGTGCGTGTGTCAGTATGTCTGTCAGTGCGTGTGTGTGTCAGTATGTGTGTATGTGTCAGTATGTCTGTCAGTGCGTGTGTGTGTCAGTATGTCTGTCAGTGCGTGTGTGTGTTAGTATGTCTGTCAGTGTATGTGTCAGTATGTCTGTCAGTGTATGTGTCAGTATGTCTGTCAGTGCGTGTGTGTGTCAGTATGTCTGTGTGTGTGTCTGTGAATGTGTGTCAATATGTCTGTCAGTATATGTGTGTGTGTGTCAGCATGTCTGTTAGTGTATGTGTCTCTGTGTGTCCATATGTATGTCAGTGTGTGCATGTCTGTATGTCGGTGTGTGCATGTCTGTATCAGTTTGACTCTTTGTGTCTGTATGTCGGTGTGTGTGTTGGTGAATGTGTCAGCATGTCTGTCAGTGTGTCAGTATGTCTGTGTGTGTCTCAGTATATATCTGTCTGTCTATGTGTCAGTATGTCTGTCGGTTTATGTGTCTGTGTAAGTATGTCTATCAGTGTATGTTTGTGTGTCAGTTTGTCTGTATATCTGTGTGTGTATCTATATGTTGTCATTTTTTGTATCTGTGTGTTTGTCAGTGTGTATATATGTGTGTGTATCTGTATGAAGTCTGTGTGTGTGTGTGTATCTGCAAGTGTGTCAGGTGTGTATATGTGTGTCTGTGTAACTGCATGTGTGTCAGTGTTTGTATCTTTGTGTATGTCAGGATGTGTATCGGTGTGTCTGTATGTGTGTCAGTGTGTATCTGTACGTTGTCTTTGTGTGTTTCAGTGTATCTGTATGTTATGTTATTAGTATGTGTGTCAGGGTGTGTATTTGTGTGTCGGGTTGTGTGCATATCTACCTGTGTGTTTGTGTGTGTATATGTGCATACATCTCAACATTCACACGCTAACACTACACACAAATACACCCCTGCATTCAAGCTTCAGCACAACATACAAATACACGTCTGTGTTAAACACCAACATTATATGTATACACACCCCTGCATTCAAAAACCAACACTACACATAAATACATGCTTACATTCAAATGCCAATGCCACATACAAACATATTCCATACAAAAACCTGTTTACATTGAAACACACAAAAACAGCTTAGTGCTAAATACAAACCTGCAAATATGGATAAATGGTAGAGCCCCAGCTGTCAAGGCATTGCTGGAGTTGCACAACAGATGGGGATCTACCTTTTAAACATCCTTGCAATAAGGAGGCCCAAAAAAAATATTCTTGCACCTCTCTACTTTAGGTAGCCACTGCGTTAAGGGTGATAACGTGTTTGCACGCCTGGGGAGGGAGTACATGGTCCAGGGGGCCCAAGCAAATGTTTTGCCCAGGGTCCAATCAATATTAAAGACGGCCCTGTGGGCCATAGTCTAAAGGGAGCAGGCGAGCAACCAGGCTCCTCCAGTGGACAGTGGCAAGGCTGGTTTCGCCACAGATTTCTTGTCTTTTCGGGGTTTGTCTTTCCACTTTTCTGTGAAGGGAAAACATAATTCTCTCACTGCGTCATTAAAAAACTATTTAAAAAACGAACATAATAGCACTGTGAAATAACCAGTATATAAATCAGATATATTGATAAGTAAAATTTAAATTAAAAAAAACTATTTCTTATAAAGATAAATACAAATTATGTAATTTCCCTTTAATATTTTTAATTTACACCATAATTCCTATCTCCTATTCCAACAAATAAATTATAGTAAGTGTTTGCAGAGTTAGTCAGCTTAGTGATTTTTGCAAACCTTCCGAGAACTAATATGCATTTAGTTAAGGTTCCCGACATTTCCCCCCTCATATCTTCAAAGCTTAAATTATACTACAAATAATATAAAGCTATAAATCCCTTTAAACAAGTCAGAACCTCTAAAGGTAGAATGAATTGATTTGAAGAAGGTGATCACACAAATCGGATCGCATGGGAACATATCTCAGAGTTTGCGTTCTCTGTGGGGATCCTTAGAAGAACAAAGAAGAAACAAATAATTTGTACTAGAGATAAGAATGTCAGCTTCCAAATAATCTGGTATGCACAATTTGCCACCGTTGCTATGGTAACATGATCCTTGTTCTACAACTGTCTTAAAGGACTAAACACATTTAATGTAGTTTGAAAACGTAAAAGTATTAATTCAATAAACTGTTAGCAATGACAGGAAGGAATTCCGAATGAATAAAAATGTTTGACTCATTTATCAATGAACTGTAAATGAGCTTTCAAATCCGATAATTTCGGTTAAATTGATCACATGTACGACCAATGTAGAAGAAACAGTGTTCTGCATTCTATTTTAATTCTGTTTCCTCCATGGTGGCTGTCAAACGGTTGATCAATTATGACGTGTTAGGATGCAGTGCAACACAACACGCAAACATAGGTCAAAACTAGCGAAGGAGAGACAGAGAAGTATAAAGAGACAGAAATAGACATATTAGCAGAGCTAACACTGGCAAGGCCTGATGGAATACTTCTGAGGAGATAGAATGACACAGTGACAGAAAGCAATAACATAGTTGCAAGTCTCGCTGGGTCAGAAAACCAGAAATCACACAAATGAATAATGAGCCAAATCAGGATACCGGAGAATAGTATAGTCAAACAGACCGTGTCAAATATGCCAGAAATCAATTTATAATATTAGTCACTTAATGAAGCTGTTTTAGTGTACAGATCATGCCCCTGCAGTCTCACTGCTCAATTCTCTGCCATTAACAAGACTTTTGTTTCTGTTTATGCAGATTTAGCCAAAAAAAATGGTCAGATCTTACTAACTTTGGAAGTTTCGATCTCCTGCTCTGCAAATTAGACTTTAGGCTCCTGCAGGGCGTAGGAGGAGGCTCCTGCAGGGCGTAGGAGGCTATTAACAGAGCAGGAGATAAGAAATTCTAAATTAAACACACTGTGAAAGTAAGGAAGTTTAAACATTAGATCTCTCTTTACAGGAAATGCCTAGGAAGGCTGTGCTTTAAAAAAGTGATTTAATGCCTAAATGATAGGGAACTGTACTGTGAGGGGCATGATATATCAGAGCTGCTTCATTAGACTAAAATTGTTTTGGTATCTATTGTATTTTTTTTTTTTTTTTTTTACTATTTTTACCTCCATTCCCGGCTTCCTGGTGAAGCATTACCCAATGGAATCTAGACATCTATCCTTGGTGGGGATTATCCCACCTACACCGGAAGTACGGAGCAGCTGGACTGCTCTATGAAAAATGAGTACAATACTATATTTTCTGTTCAATTGTTTATTTCAGTGATAACAATATTGTTTTCATTTATTTCACCCATCACAAAAAAATGGCACCCTTATCCATGGGTGGGGTTTATACCACAACACAGGGCCGTCATCAGGGGGTGACAACCATGACGGTTGACACAGGCCCGGCAGTCCTGGGCCCCACATTCCCTCTCTGCACATATTTATATGATGATCGCTATATATATGTGCAGATATATGTGCAGCCACGGGCCTCTTGGCTCCCTGTATTTGCAGGGGGGCCAGCAGACTGCACAGTACATTACAGCTCTTCCCTCTCTCTAACTCCCGCGAGACCCGCGGCCGTCAGAGTGTTGCCACGGGCTACCATGGCAACGCTCCGCGCGGCACACACGCCACGCGGGAGTTAGAGAGAGGGAAGAGCTGTAACATACAGATGCAGTCCCCCCTGAAAATACAGGGAGCCGGGGGGCCCCACAATGCCACCGGACCACCAGGAATCATGGAATCTCCCCCCTCCCTGAACCAGGTAAGAAACAGGGAGGGGGGAATAACAGATATTACATTTAATGTGGGGGGAGGGGAAAAAGCATACACTAGTAAACACACACACTCTGCATTCACTACACTAACATACACTCTGCATCCACTACACTAGCACGCACTCTGCATTCACTACACTAACACACACTCTGCATTCACTACACTAACACACACTCCGCATTCACTACACTAACACACTCTCTGCATTCACTACACTAACACACACTCTGCATCCACTACACTAACACACACTCTGCATTCACTACACTAACACACACTCTGCATTCACTACACTAACACACACTCTGCGCTCACTACAATAACATACACTCTGCATTAACTATACACACAGCATCCACTACACAAACATCCTGTATTCACAGTACACACACTACATCCACCACACATTCAAATACGTTGCATTCACTATACAGAGATACTGCGTCTAATAGACACACTACAGACACTGCATCCACTAAACACATTGCATCTAGTACACACAAACACTACATCTACTGCACAAACACACACTACATCACTGTACACACACTACATCCACTACTCAAACACACTCTGCGTTCAGTATACACATTGCATCTGCTACACAAACACACACTCTGCATTCACTGCACAAACAGTATCTAATACACACAAACACTACATCCATTACACACATTCTAATTCACTTCCACTATACACAACACATTCAGTCCTACAACATTGTCAGTGGACTAGGTAGGAGTCCTGTGGGCGGACTTGTGGGTGGGCCGGGGGTCGGGGCCCAGACCCTGTGCTTTGTCAGGGTCCCCAAAATTTCTGGTGGCAGCCCAACCACAACACCCTGTTGTGAGTGGGAATTTGTACTTGAATGTTGTGTGAGTTCACTTACAGAGAAATACTGCACCATTGACTCTTTTTTGTTTTTTTCTCTTTTACATGTACCCATGGATAAAGAATTAAATGCTAAAGGAAGCAAAGTCAGTGAATTCTTAAAACCTTGGACTGTGTCCCTTGGACTCGTTTACACTTAATACAGCATTATCATTATTAGGTGCAACCTGTTTTGTTTATTGCATTTTGTTCCACACCAGGCTGACCTGCCAGTAATGTGGGAGGACAAGCCCCCTTTCTATGTCCTCCATCTTTTGGGCAGAGCCAGTGACATAATTGTATCACTGGCTCGCACCCTCTACTCCCCTCCCACCGGCGTCCCGATTCTGGGACTGCTGACATTAGGAGGAATGGTACACTCAATGCATGGAGCTGGGGGAGAGCTGTCAGACAATATCGCTTCACTTTTCACACTGTGCAATGGAAGCACCAGGATTAGACAATGCAACAAGCGTGTAGTCAATATGAAATCCCAGTAGGTAGGCCTGTCTTTGAGGACAGCATAATTGCGGTCTGAACAGGATACATTGAGAAGAACAGAGGGCTCTTCAACAGCCAATGAGGGTGATTCATACAACTTTTCATATTAATTAAACTGACAGACACATCTCAAAGATGTAGATTTGCACAGAAAAATATAAAAACTCCAACAGAAAAAATAAATGTATAATTTTATTCTTATTATTTGTTTGTTATTAGTGAGGTGCTGCCCCTTGGACGAGCATCACTAGTTATTAGAGTTCCAATAAATTGTGTTTTTGCCTTAATTTTGCAAATTAGATCACTTCTAGACACCAAAACTACTCTGACAGATTGATTTACGATGCATTGCTGTCCTGTTAACTATGGATCCACAGACTAGGCTTTAGCCTGATGACTCGCCGTGTCTGCAACTCTCCATAATTTGAGTTTGCACTTCTATATTAGAAATGTTATTATACAGCTATAAAGAACATATTAAATAGCACAATCGTCAGCTCATTCAAGGTATTGTAATTTGCATGATTCATTCATTCTGATTCTAAGAGAGTAAGGTATATAAGTACAAATCATGTTGTTTACTGAGAAGGTATGAAATAAAAATAATAATTCTATCATATGGAGATTGAAATAGATTCACAATGTAATTGACGAGCACTAAATTAATACTAACTGTGTTTCATTATAGTGTTCTTAAGAATAAATTGTAAATCTGATACACTTCAAGAGTTCGTTTTGGGAACAGTTAGCTCAGATTCATTTTTCAACAAATGTTAAAAAATATTGTGTTCAAGTCTCTTATTTTAGGTGCCCTTTTTTCTGTTTATTTAAGGAAACACTCTTTTTTGTATACATATAAAAGGAATTTTACATTTTATATTTTTATGTGAGAAGACTAGGTGCTTCACACAGGGGGAGATAGTTGCGTATGTGTCATGGTTGTCGTTACACTTGCATGTAGGAAAAAGCATACCCACGAAGTGAGGGTCCAAAAGACGCATTAATGGGCCTTAGAGTGGCCGGATTTAGCCTATTACAAGAAAGAATCAACGTCAGGAATAGTCGAGGTCAGGAATACAGAGATACGGATACATGAAAAACAAGCCTGTCCAAATAAGGTCAGGACTCTAGAAATACACAGGTCAATATACAAGCCAGGTCAGGATACCAGAAATACACAGGTCAATATACGAGTCAGGTCAGGATACCAGAAATACACAGGTCAAATTACAAGCCAGGTCAGGATACCAGAAATACACAGGTCAATATACAAGCCGGGTCAGGATACCAGAAATACACAAGTCAATATACAAGCCGGGTCAGGATACCAGAAATACACAGGTCAATATACAAGCCGGGTCAGGATACCAGAAAAACACAAGTCAATATACAAGCCGGGTCAGGATACCAGAAATACACAGGTCAATATACAAGCCGGGTCAGGATACCAGAAATACACAGGTCAATATACAAGCCGGGTCAGGATGCCAGAGCTTAACAGAGTCAAAACGAAACCAACGTCAATAACAGAAAATCACAAGAGCGTCGCAGGAGCACTAAACGTGTTACTAAACAAAAACCATGATAGGGAGATGAGTAAGGGCATGTACAGGCTTTAAAGGGTTTCATATGTGTTCTAATTGGTCCACGTCATCTCTGTGACTATAAAACAGCATGGGGTCGCCTAGATGACGTGGTCCCATTAAGGGTGTGACATCATGATTTTCCATTTTTTTTTAAGGAAATGCCCTTAGAATGGGCAGAGTCCTAACTTCTTTGTAGGGGCCTGCAGTTCGGCCTGCGAACCAGCAGAGAGAGCCTGAAGGAAAAGGTTATCACGCTGTTTGGGGAGTCCAAGTGCTTATGAACTGTATCCACTTCTGAGTTGCTTCAATGTTATGATGTATCCACCTTAAAAATCACAGAGATACAGCAAGATGATATCGATGTGGTGCTTGTTCCAAAGTCCCGCTGTAAAAGCACAGGGTACACTTTAACCAGCAATACAGTCAGAGGGTTACCAGTCCATCATCAGGGAGATACCGACAGCTCTGGGCACTCGAGCCAGGATGCAGTACTCCTGTAGTGGAAAGACAAACTCCTCTGTCCGCTGGAAAGCAGTACCACATGTGTGAATCCACTGCTGTTAAAAATAACTCCACAGGCAATTAACGCATTTCGCCCCTCTTACGTAGGCCAAACTTCAGTGTCTTTATACCTTCTCCCAAATCGGGATTACCAGTTCTCTTGAAGAGGAGTTGACGTTTTTCCACAACAGGAGTACTGCATCCCGGCTCAAGTGCACAGAGCTGTTGGTATCTCCCTGATGACGGACTGGCAACCCCCTGACTGTATTGCTGGTTAAAATGTACCCTGTGCTTAAACAGTGGGACTTAGAAACAAGCACCACATCGATATTCTGTAAGTGAAATTGGGGGGGGAGGGGAGGGTCTTTAACCCCTTAAGGACACATGACACGTGTGACATGTCATGATTCCCTTTTATTCCAGAAGTTAGGTCCTTAAGGGGTTAGTAGATGTACTGTATTACACTATGTTGCTACTTCTCTGTGATTTTTAAGGTGGCTACATCATAACTTTGAAACAACTCAGAAGTGGATACAGTTCATAAGCACTTGGACTCCCCATACAGCATGATAACTTTTTCCTTCAAGCTGATACCCTCTAACTATACTTTCTATAGTAACTTTGATTTGATTTATTTGTGGTACCCTAGAAAGCATTTCTCTAAGGGTATATCAGCTAAGCGCTGACACTTTAGTTTAGCAAATTGCATGTATGCAAAACTTGGGAAAGGTTCTTTACGTGTTTTTTAGCTGCTATTATTGTCATAGTTTCTTTGATCAATACGGTTTATCTTGCACTCTCTTTTATTTTTTAGTTTTTGCAGCAGAGGGAGCCGTTCGTTGGACCGAAGGTAAGTCTATTATTCCTATTCAGACCACGCGGTCTGACAACAGGAGCAGAGTGGCCACGCGATGTGTTTTGCCCCTGCAGCCGAGGAGGAGAGCGGCGTGGGCACCAGGTACAGGTAAGTCTGTGACAGTATGGAGGTTAGAGTCTAAAATATGAGGTTATTTATATCTGAGAGACCAATCTTAAATTAAATTGTCTACAATTCTTAGGCAATTTCTTTGTTTAATAATGTCCTATAGTATTTTTATGATCGTGTTTTATTTATATATATATTTATTTTTTGAATATATGTTCTTTTTTTCACATATATTTAAGCTATTGTGGATGGAAAAACCTTTCCCCCTCACCCCTTTTTTTCCTGTAACCCTTCCCCTTGATGTTGTTTTTACAGTTAAAAGTTCAATAAAAATATTTGAAAAGAAAATTGCAGACCAGATTGTATAAAGTGTTTGGAAAAAGATGGTGAATCAAAACGTGAATGTAGTTCTTAAAGGAATTCTAAAAACACTAGACCTCTCAATTTAATGTCATAGTAGTTGTTCTTTATCCTGTGTTACAAAATAAATGTTTCTCTACAAGTTGATGGGTCTCATAACCCCTTTATACCATCTCCCAGCCCCAGCAAAATGCAATTTCTTATTCCAGACACTGTGCAGTTGACCTAAGAATTTTCTACACCAAAAGAGACACATGCGTACGGCCAAATTATTGCATTTACAATGATAACTTCCTCTTTATATTGGCTTATTAATGGATGATATGCAGCTCAGGTGTAGCTAAGGTAAACAAGATGCAGCATATAAATTGCATGAGTCAAATATATATTGTATAAACAACAATGTAGCATTTTTAACCAGCTAGAGAAGGATTTGAATGTTGTTACTTTTCATGAATGTCCACGGATATTGATGACATTCTTTCTCATTTTAATGGTAGTAATGTAATGATCTGGGAATGATGGTTCACTTAGATACGTCTATCTTCTGTCCGTACTCCCACCTCTGATGCTCGTCTTCATGATTTCTCGAGGGTTGCACCGTTCCCGTGGAACTCGCTTCCCTCCTCCGTTAGATGCTCACCCAGTTTCCACTCCTTCAAAAAATCGTTAAAAAAACATTTCTTCATAAAAGCGGATCAATTAACTGTTAATAGCTCCTGAATGATTCCTCTTCTGCAACTGTCATTAGTCTAATACTATCCTTTACCCCACTCCCTCTAGCATGTACGCTCATTGAGCAGGCCCTCAATCCCTCTGTTACTGTGTCACTATACCCCACTCCCTCTAGCATGTAAGCTCATTGAGCAGGGCCCTCAACCCCACTGTTCCTGTGCGTCCAACTTGTCTGGTTACAACTACATGTCTGTTCGTCCACCCATTGTAAAGTGCTGCGGAATTTGATGGCGCTACATAAATATCATAATAATAATAATAATAATAACCACACACATATATACATTTCCATGGTATTTGTTGAAACAGTTGTCTCCTTTATTTTATACTTTATATACAGTATATATATGTTGAATACTTATAGCAGGAGAAGTGTCTGTAGATTCCATCAAATACTAATTTGATTGGTGAATAATGCATATTATGCTGCAGCTGTATTGCAAGGAAGGACACTATTTACAGAAAAGAGGCTCTACGCCAACTACAAGGCTACTCAGCATGCCAATTATGATTTAAAGGAACAAATCTAAAAATCGCTGTTTATTAAACCCAATGAATACATGCATGCATCTAAAAAGAGCTTGCAAATGCTGCATTTCTTATGACTTGCTCCTTTGCAATTCCTCCCCTTTTTTCCCGTAACAAACTTTCAGTTCTCATTGCAGAGCCTCTGTATCTGTGCCATCGCGTCTGCTCGCGTGCTCTGTACCCACAGTCGTGAAGTACACTAGTCTGAGGTCTGCGGAGGAACAATGAAGGAGAAGGCAGGTGTGCTGATGTAGAGCACAAAAAACTAACAGAAGGAGGAAGTAAATACACTGCCTGCTTGATTGACAGCCAGGGAGGTGTTTCATAATGCATTTATAAAACTGCTGAATTCTCATGGAATTTGGCATTTAAAATAGGACTCTCCATGCACATAAAGCACTTCAGCAAGCAGAAAGGCACCCTGCAAAGAATAAACTGTAATCTATAGATATTGTGTTAGTCAAACCAAAGGGATCTTGTAATAGTGGGGAGCAATCTCTGGCTGAGAGTCTCTTAATCTATGTATTTGCAGGAAATGTTGGATAGCACCAGGTACAGACTAAGGATAAAGCCAAATCAGTGAACTCCTCATGATTTGTGCATGACGCTTTCACTTTGAAATAGCAAAGTTCCATGACGAGAGCCCTCAAGGCTGTTTTTTTATGTATCATCATGTTTTACAAAATGATTGCGAATGTCATGTAGGTTTCCTAATCCTTGTAACACTTCATTGAAAGTCTTATTTCCTCCGCTCTGATTTCACGAGGATATGGCATTAAACAAAGCAATATGACACACTAGAAGCCAACTTCCTCTGTGGAATTTTAACAGATGAATCACGTCGGGCAAATGCCACAGCATCAATAGAACTGAGAAATTACACTAAATGAAAAACATTTGATCTTAACTAGTTATCTGTAAATTATGCCAATAAAGTCCTGTTTTCATAATTTGTTAAAATTTCTAGATATTTTTTTAAACTGTTAATAGAACACTCCTCTGCCCAAATGGGCCAAAAAGTGGAAATCACTGTTTAGTAGATATACTCCCAATGAATCCAATTATACATTTTTTTCATGCAAGTATTTATTGGGGTGAATCTTAAGAGAGCTCAAAGGAACTGCAGCCTTTGCATGCCCTGCCATTTTCTCTAGAATATACTAAATGGCTTATTTACGAAAATGAAAATTCAAGGTGAATTTCCAATTTAGCGTCACAATAGCTGAACTGGAAAAATTATCTAAACCAGCGATGCTCTTAGTACATTTACTCTGCCCTTAAACTTGAGATACTCACTTCCGTAAATAACCATTTGCCAGTCTCTTGACTGGGAAATAAGCTCTCCCTGCCACACACTACAAAGCACTCTGATCTGAGGTCTGAGAAGGAGCTATGCATGGTGGAGGTAGGCGTACTCAAGTAGACTTATGTAAGGATGTTTAATTATTTATAAAAGTGACAATTTCTCATAGAAATCAGCACATTTCTAAAGTGGCTTTTAGACAAGCAAGCTGAAGTTCTTTATGTGTGTGGAGTGGTCCTTTACCAATATAATATACAATATATAATATACAATGATCGAAAAATATAATATACAATGATCAAAAAAGTAAATAATTTTGAATGTTGCAACTGGAATCCCACTAAAAGAATGTGAATAATTCGTCCAAAAAAAAATAAAAGTTCAAAAACAAAATAATTCCCTCGCTCCACTTCTTACTTATAGAAGATAATTTAAAGCAGGGGTCCTCAAACTTTTTAAACAGGGGGCCAGTTTACTGTCCCTCAGACACTGCTGGGGGCCACACTATAGTTTGAAACAAATTTGAACTAATTCCTATACATACTGAAACAGACACATAGACATATACAGACAGTCACACACAAACATACATACAGACACACACACAGGCATAAGGTCATACATACTGACACACATACATACTGACATACATAGACACTGACAGACATATATACATACTGACATACATTGACAGACATATACATACATAGACACACATACAAACACATACATACATACATACATACATACACAGACAGACACACAGACACATACTGACATACATACTGAATACATACACACAGATAGATAGATACATACACACAGACAGACAAATACATACATACACAGACAGACACACAGACACATACTGACATACATACATACTGAAATACATACACACAAACAGACATACATACAGATACATACATACACACAGACATACATACTGAAATACATACATACACATAATGACATACACACAAACACAGCCAAATGTTCTTATTTTTTTGCAGGAGGGTGGCTGTGGCTGATGGGAGTCGGCGTGGCTCGCCCGTCCTCGCCTGTCTTTCTTCCCTCCCACACAGAGAGAGCTGGGAGGAAGTGACCCAGCACTACTTTGCGGCTGAAATTTTTTAATGGTTGTGATATTGCACGACTGCAGCGCTGACCGGGCCCCTGAAGATATAGGGCCCATCAGGTGGCCCTAAATGCTTGGGCTGGGTTCAGGACCCTGACGGGCTGGACCCGGCCTGCGGGCCGTAGTTTGAGGACCCTTGATATAAAGGATATTAAAATGGAAAATAGGGTGAATGCAGGTATATATCAGATTAAAGACCACCAACAATTAAAATCCTTTACAAACCTACAGAATATAAATTAGTTGCCAGGTACAGAGTTATTTACATATTTGAGAATTAAATTCTATTTAAATATAAAAATAATTAGAGACAATCCCCAGGGAACTCTACAACCGATAATAGATATAAGCAGGCCGATTAAACTGTCAGAATGGGTGAAATCTTTAAATTTGGTTAACAAATCGATACATTGTCTCAGTTTGGTTGAACTCCACTTTAAGGTCCGCTCGAGAATAAAACAGATGTATACTAACTCTTCAGATTTTAGCTGGAGATGCCATGCACCATCAGCAGATTTCATGCACATCTGTTGGTCCTGTGGCCCCATTTATCTATTTTGGCAAATGTTGAGTGAAAAGTTGGAATCTCTTGTAGGTTAAGAAGTTCCCACAATACCAGAGAATTAATTATTACATACCCACATGCCTAATTACTCTTGATAGATACCTGAATTACAGCCAAGCAATTGATAGCAAAGAATCGGAAATCGATTAATACTCCACACTGGGCACAAGTAAAAACTCAACTTAGTTATCAGATAAATATGGAAAGTGACAACTATCTAAACATAAGAGATAAGTGGCTCTTTGGTTATCTAAATTATTATAGTGAAATAAATTATCGGTTGGAACTGAATGATTAATTTTCACCCCTCTGGCAGAATGTCATCTCAGTGATATATGTTGTTATTGTTAGATGTATTTATGTCGTGTTATATGTTATTTGTAAAAGAATTATGACGCTCATATGTTGGAAAATTTAATTTACTATTGTGAATTTTAAAAAGTTTAAATTCTGTCTTGAAAACGTAATAAAAAAATTACATTAAAAAAATAAAAGAATGTGGAAACCTAAAAAAGAAAAAACATTCAGACAAATGTCTTATCTCTTCTAAGATGTCATGATTCACCGAAAGAAAAAAAGTGGGCGTAAATTCACGAAAGGCTTAGTTAAATTGACTTAGCAACAAATTTGTTGAATGTCAGCTGAAATAAATGAGTTAGGGTAACATCTCTAAGTTAGCTCCTTACTAACGGCTTGTGGGAAGGAATGATCTGTAACACAACTGGCATCCATCTGGTGGCTTTGATAAGTTTGGACAAACTGAGATTCAATGAGACTGGCATCCTTTCGCACTGTACTTTCTTAAAAAGACACTCCAGACCCCTAAAGCACTTAAGCTTGTAGTGTTATGGACAGATGAATTAAAATAAAATGGCTATTTACTAATGTCTATTTATTCTCTGTTCACTATGTTAAAACTGGCTTCTAGAGTAAATGTTCCCTTCCCCCCCCCCTACAATGTGGTCAGCTGCTGTTTACTATGTAAATTCCTCACATCCTGCTAGCCTCCCCTTTGTGCCAGTTAACAGCTATATGCCATATATAGCTAAATGGAGGATCATTGGTTTAGAACTGATAGATACCACTCACTCCCCCTCCCATCGTGTATCCAAAAGTGTGTAATGATGACACTACATTCTGTAGGGGGGTTTAAACAAGAGGCCCCCTTTCTCTGTTAACCAATTGGTGAATGTATACTGTATGTTTAAACTGTGACGTATTTTTGCTTTAAGAAGGAGCCCCCACTCCGGGCAATAAAGCATTCCTGGGTTTTTCACTGATCAGAAACTTTGTCTCCGGTGTGAATTACTTCTAGGGAAAGCGTGCACGCATTAATTAATCAATTTGGAAGGTGTAGATAGACAAATAATCAAAGTTTTCTTTGATCCAAAACAATTTGGTGGAGAATGCGGGCATTTAAGGGATACGTTACTAAGGCAGCCGTCAGATCCCAAGACAGGAGAGCAAAGGATTCCCAGAGATTGGAAACGGAGCCTGATCACCTCTGCATATGGTAAATGAGTTACTTACCTATATTTTCCTTTCTTTGGATTTCTCTTGTTCTCCGTGCCTTCACATTCGGCTTCCGGTGTTTAACGTCTTCAGACAGGTAATATATATATGCCCGAATGTCCCCTTTTATATAGAACCTGTCACTTGTCTATCTACAGCCTGAGTCCTGAGTGAGAGTTTTATGTGTGAAAGTGTCTGTTTGAGAATCTGTTTTACTACTTGCTTAATACTGTTATATAATGCTGCCAAGTGTGGTTAAGCACTTGCAGGTTTAGCCAAGTTCGGGTTTGGTGGAAAACCCCTGGCTCTATATTTATTTTAGCTAAGCTTCGGTAAAGAAGTTATTGCGAGACTCGGTCAAGAGTTTAAAAATAAATAAATAAAATAATTTAAAAAATAAATAAATAAAAAAATAAAAAAATAAAATTATTTTAGCTAAGCTTTGGTAAAGAAGCTAGTGAGTGATGTTTTGGCCTCGTTTGGTAAAAAACCTGGCGGTTCCTTTGTTTTATTAAGACTCGGTCAAGAGTTTAAATAGGAGCGGTTTATGTGCTTGAGTGTTTCTGTGTGTGTGATTTGATTTATTATAAGCCGGCATTTATTTTAAGAACTTTGTGATTTAATTACATCTGTATTTTGTGCTTTTGTCTGTGTATGTCTTGTTGGGTACCATATATGTTAATTGTAATCTATACAATCTGTATCGTTACTCTCCTATTCTATCTTTTGTCCTAAGGAGAGCTGCGCTTAGGCAATCACATGGTTAAAAAACTTTGTGCTTGCAAGTCTTCCTCCCTCCTCCCCCCTCCTTCTTTGTTGCTTTCTCTTGCTCTGACTGCTATGAGTATTGGCTACAGGGGGGTGGGGTGAATGGGTGAAATGCTTGTAAACTCAGTGAGGAATGTGAGGGAAACAAGGTATATTTGCTGGACGAATAACCTAGTTAGGAACTTTGTGTAATCTTGTATATGTTGTTAAGCAAGAGGTTATTGGCATGTTGGAATAAGGAAAGTTAGATTTTGTTGGAACAAATGAATTGTGGAATTTATAAATGAATATCGCAGAGAAAAGTAAATTGCAGTTTGCATTTAATAGCAGCTATTCAGATGCTGTTTTGTGGCAATCTTTATACACACAATGTGAAATTGCCAATAGTGAAATTGACAAGAAATTGTTTGTTAATAAGAAAAAAAAACAAAAGATCAGAAATGTTATGAAACTAGTCTGTACTTACAATGCATTGATTTGTAAACGAAATGCAGATCAAGAAAATTTAGAATCATCAGAAAAAGAAGTAGATTTGAATGGGTTAACAGAAGACAAATCAGATTTAAATGAACAGTGTAACAATGTAACAGAGAGCACATTGTCAGAAACAGTTTGTGAATTAGAGGATAGAGTTGAACTAAGAAATGATCTTATTTGCCAGCTTAGAAATGAAGTTAAGCAAGTGTGTGTTAATACAAGAAAAATACAGACACAGAATCTAATCCCAGAACCAATAGATACTGAAAATGTATCCTCACAGAGTGATTTGCAGAAATATAAATTTCAAGACAGAGCTGCAAAACTTAATTTGAAAATACATGAACAATTAATGAAAATTGTGAAATGTATTCCAGTTTATGACACGTCAGTGGATGCATTTACTAATGCTGGAATGTTTGAGTCAAATGTGGACAAATACAGCCTAAATGACGAACAAAGGAATAGATTGTTTAAAATATGGCTGCCGACTCAAATGGCATGTAGACTGACCACGCTTGTAAAATTTCAGGACAATGATAAAATAATATATGGAAATAAGCAAGACAGATTAACACAATTAATAAAATTAACAACAGGGAATGATTTTGCAGACACTGAAATGTTGGAAAAACTAAAACCACACAAAGGGGAGGATATATTTAGTTTTCTTGTAAAATTTGAAAATGCATATAGACTTGTTGCTGATTTTTCTGAAGATCAGTTAATTAATGAATTTGTGAAAAAATTTCAAGATCTAGATCCAACTGCAATTGTGGTAGCTAGAGAAAAAAGCACTTTGACAGAAGTAGCTTTGTTCTTGGATAACTTAAGGAGGGAAACCAAGAATGAAGGGGTTAAAACGACTTGTGGCTTTAGGCAGAGAAAGAAGTGCAGATGTTACAGCCCCCGTCCCCCTTCTTCTTCTTCTTCTTCTAGGACAGAGTGTAGAGTGATACAGACAGCTGAGCCCCTCCCAATTTATTCAACTAAATATAGGGCAGTTGATAATATAGGGCAGAATATAACTCCTAAAGTTATTTGTTTTTGGTGCAATAAACAACATTATTCAAGATCTTGCAGATATTTTATCCGAGATATCAAATCAAAAGCAAATGAGAAATTAAATTTGTTGATTGAAAATTTTGACAGAGAAAATACATGTGGAGATAAATCAATTAAAGCCTTTCCTTGTAAACTTATAATCAGACAAATAAAAGCAATTTTAGCTAAATCGAAATTAGGAGACAGACAAACAATGCAGCGTAACACAGAAAGTTATAAGAATCAGATAACTTCAAGAGATATGATCAGTTTAGGGAATGAGCATGGATATGTCTGCCAACAGAGGTACACAGGCTGATTCCAGAATTAAGAACAGCCAAGAATAGAGTTCTATGTTAGTTTGTTTTAATGAAATGTTAGTCTGAACTGTTTTTTTTCATTGTTTTATATGTATTTTAAGAAAGTATTAGGTTAATTAATTAAAATAAAAATGTACATCAAGTTTGCAAATATGGCAGAATGAAATACACTAATGTAGCAGTGAGGAACATGCAATGTATGTTATATTGGGTGTATGCAATTATACAGTAACTCCAATCATTTTACAGAAGGTAAAAACAATGTTGTTACTTCTGAGGTTGATTTAAAATCTTTGATTTAATTAATGAGAATGAGATTTTACTATCATGACTGATAATGGATTACTGTATATTGCAACGCCTGGACATACACATGTTTTGGATATACTGAAGACAAAAGGAATAATATATGGGAATGGATAAGGCTGATTTCCCCCTATCCACAGCCACGCCTACTCCTAAAGTAACATCGCGTACATCCTTACTATGCCCTTTTACTGTAGAATTTCCCGAATCCTAATGACCCATTCCACTACATGGTGTGACTTGTTTAAGCCTAAGATAAATTGGCTGATCAGGCTACCTGTATTAACAATGTCATCAACGATGAGTTAGCATCTGTGGAGAAGCATCACTTCAGGTTGTCCCAAATTTTCTTTTAACTTAAGTTTTAGTACATAGTAAGGCCCATGCCCAATAACTATATGCAGCCTTGTATAGCAGGCCACATGACATCTATTTGTACCAAGCAAGGCCTGCCTGACTCCTCATTCCTGTCTAACATTGTTGTCTCCTGCATAAGTGTAGATGGCTCTCCTTGGAGTAGCCTGTTAACTAAGCCTTGCTTTGTGGTTACCTTCACCTGTCCAATTAATCTGCTAGGTGCAGATGTCCTTCCCCCACTTGCAGGCCCCTATCACCTTATTATTCATTTTGTTCCACACAGTGAAACCTGACCAAGAGGCAAGGGTCCTAGCTAGTTCCCCCAATACCTTTACCTGAATTATACAGGCCCCAAAGCCTGTCCAAGCTCTTACTATTCCCTAACAGGTTAAGGCTCTGGTGTCGAATGTTGCCCTGGTTACCTGAGACTTTCCATGCAATATCCCACCTCTCCTTGTGATGGACGAATTCTGTGCAGGATAATGTCACCCTGCAGGGATGATACTCTATTTACCTGGCCACTCTTCTGCCACTTCCCAAGGGGGGAAATGATAAGACACTGACTATTATTTTTTTTTTTAGCCTTTTTCTTATGTTCTGTTCCGGATTTGCTGTCACTACAGTGGACCAAGTATCTCACCTCAACAATGTCTGCACAAGAAGCTGAGCTATAGACTCCCATCACACCATGCAAGATCTCTGAAGGAAGACTGAACTCAGAGGAAGCATGTGGCAGCTCTCTGGCTGACTAAGTTGTTCAAAAAGTTGTAAGTGCACTAAAGGAAGTGGACAGAAAAGTGTCTGCTGAAGAAACTCCCATATTCACCATGTAAGATCCTACCCACAGACATCAAGCTCCCGGAGGAATAACAAGCAAGCTACTGACCCTGGAAAGAAAGAAAAAACAAACAAACCACAAGCTGGAAACAGAAAGGGGCAACTCTTAAAGACAGGCTGTACTTCAACAATCTCAAGTTATACTTGCCCAAGAACATATACTCAGCAGTGGTCCAGTGGGCCTACGGAGCATCTGTCCAGAACCCTCATGAACTCTTTTGATCAATAAATACTCTGAAGTACCAGGAATTGCCTCTCTGACCAACAGTTACTGTAAATCTTGTGCCATTTGTGCCAAGGGCAACTCAAGAAGAATGGATGAAAGCCCCAAGCATCTAGCCAAACCTCATTATCTCTTCCAGAGGAGTCAAGTCGCCAGAATGCCAAAGAATGGCTGATTCAAATATGCACTAATTATAGCAGACATGTTTTCAGGATGGCCAGAGGCCTATCCAGCCACCAAAGTGATAACCAAGACCACATGCTGAGTAGTGCACCGTGAAAGTTACAGAGATCACCCCGTGGGTTCATCATTCCAGAATCAAGCCTGCCTCTGCATCATGTGAAGTAACATTTGTTGATCTTGACAACCCTTTTTGAAACTCCATTCTTAGAGAACAAAGATACTTGTTGAAAATAAATAAATAAATATCAACAAGTGGGTGTTTTGATGGCCATAATAATGCCTGACCACCTGCCATCGATGGAAAGCTGAATACCCCAAAAGGGGACCTCGTGAAACTAAAGAGAAACAAACATACTCCTTACCCTGCAGCCCTCACGTCTGAGGTGCCATACGCACAGTCAAAGCTTCTTCAAGATCATCTGCTTATCTTGAGTTTGTGGTGATATTAATATTGAATGTTTAAATAATCTGAATCTGCCAGTACTAGGGTAGCATGAGACAAGATTTCTAAGAATAAGTAAATGTGCCCTAGCCTAGGTTATTATGTCCATACACATAACACATGACAATCCCCAAGGTACTCTTGACACACCTCATTCATGCTTCAGGACAAAAAGGAGTACCCCTATAAAGGGTGGTTTTACCCACACATATATATATATATATATATATGTATATTAATGCCATAGGGGTGTCAAGGGGGGTACCAAATAATTTTAAGGTAAGAAACTAAGTTTGAATCTATTCTCCCAAGCATTACGGCTAATAAAATCTGAATTGGAAGGGAAGAGGTTTATACAATAAACAGGAGACCTTTTTCTTACAGGACATGTATGACTCAGCTGAATGGGTAGGTGCCACGCACATGACTGTTAATCCCCTCAAACCACACATTAGGACTTTAAAAGACATGGTAGTCATCCCATATTTGAGGATAAGAGGGCTGTAGAGACAGGTTTCTCTGACACTAACTTGTGACTTGAATGGATGAAATACAATGCTACTAAACATAACAAGTCTAACTGCTATGTCTGCAGAGGAGCGAGGCCTCACCCAGGTACAGTATCCCTGAACCTTCCTCCGGATATGAAGTATGCGTTTTAAGTCTCTACACTGTATTTAAACCTAAGCGGTCAGCATGCGAGTCATGGAAACTTAATACCCAATCATTACTAAAAATATTAACCCAGACGAAGGCATTACTATATAGCCCGGGAACGATACTTGTTATGGGATATATGGTGGGATAGGGCGGTTACAAACTATCTCTCAGATGACCTTCCAGAATAGAATAAGCTTGGAAATGATTTTAGCAGAAAAAGGGAGAGTATGTAAAATACTCCCAGACACCATGACATGCTGTACCTATATTCCAGATAATACAGGCCCTAATGGTAAGGTAACGTTGGCAATAGAAAAGTTAAAGAGTTTGTCCAATGAACTGAAACGAAATTCTGGGGCCACAGATCCATGGGAAAGATGGTTTGGATGGATGTCTGAATGGCAAGGTGCTCTGGCCCAAATAGGTGTTGCCATTTTAATAACGATCATCCTCGCTCTTCTTGTTTGTTGTGTGTTACCCTGTCTTAAGAAATGCCTACAAAAGACAGTTGATCAGGCAATCGACCAGACCACCCCGACCTTCCTTCACCAAGAGATTGACGATATCGACCGTGATACACCACATACACCCTTACAGTCCCACCGCACTAAATCAACAGCTACTTCCTCTTAAGGACATTTAGGGATAGCGTCTGTCTCTACGGGCAGAAGTCTGCCGCGGGAGAAGTAGTGGACAAGCTGCTATGGGGTACCCGCGCAGTGAAGTGTTCGAGGCCTGTTCAGACAGATGTGCAAGATAGCCTTTTGTTATTTTTCTATAGGGACAGTATTAGAATGAGAGATAGTAGTTTTAGTAAAAATTGCCATTTTAAGGGGGACTGTTATGGACAGATGAATTAAAATAAAATGGCTATTTACTAATGTCTATTTATTCTCTGTTCACTATGTTAAAACTGGCTTCTAGAGTAAATGTTCCCTTCCCCCCCCTTACAATGTGGTCAGCTGCTGTTTACTATGTAAATTCCTCACATCCTGCTAGCCTCCCCTTTGTGCCAGTTAACAGCTATATGCCATATATAGCTAAATGGAGGATCATTGGTTTAGAACTGATAGATACCACTCACTCCCCCTTTCTCCGTGTATCTAAAAGTGTGTAATGATGACACTACATTCTGTAGGGGGGTTTAAACAAGAGGCCCCTTTCTCTGTTAACCAATTGGTGAATGTATACTGTATGTTTAAACTGTGACGTATTTTTGCTTTAAGAAGGAGCCCCCACTCCGGGGAATAAAGCATTCCTGGGTTTTTCACTGATCAGAAACTTTGTCTCCGGTGTGAATTACTTCTAGGGAAAGCGTGCACGCATTAATTAATCAATTTGGAAGGTGTAGATAGACAAATAATCAAAGTTTTCTTTGATCCAAAACAGTAGAAAAGCTTTATTTGTGAAGAGTGTGTCCTCTTTTCATTTTCCAAAAATTGTAGATTTCAATAGAAATTTAAATTTTTGTGAATTATGCTGGTTACACCACACTTTCTTTTAATCAGACAACCGGTCATGTTACCTTCTGGTTTGTTTGGCTCAGTGGAACTAAACTCAAGAGGCAGCAGTTCCCCAGAGCACCTGTCTTGCAACGACTTCTTATTGCGCTGCATTGGGAAGTCTATGATTGGACAGCCACAAAAAGTCTGGGCGGACTTAGAAGGGGAGGGCTTGCAAAGGCTGTAGACAAGAGATCTGCAACCTTTGCAAGTTGTTTTTAGATGTACCCTAATGAAAATAATGCATCATTACAAGTGTGCAAGTTTTCATTTGGGGTATTTCTATTAAACAGTGATTTTTCGGCAGTGGAGTGTCCCTTTAAGTACTTTTGTTACACTTATGGTCCAAATAATAAGACATACTTTGGCGCATTCATCTTTTTATGCACAATTTCTAGTACCAGGGGATGGGTGAAGAAAGAATGTCTAATGACGTTACTTTACCCCCACACATTGAAAGTGGGAAGCATATTTGTTCTACATTTATATTATCATGTTATTATGGGTATTTACTGACATGTACCTTTCATTTTACATTTCTCTATTTTGTACTTTGTGTTCTCCAACACTGGATCTTTGTTTTCTTTTTAAACTTATACATTGAATCATTGATAATTCTTCTGAATAAAGAGTGTCAACAACCTTTCACCAGAATTGTATTAACAGGTTAGAATTTAGCAAACACATCCCATTAATCTATTATTTTTAAGTGTCCCTTAAAACAGATTTGTAACTTCTCTAGAAATTATGTAATTGGATAAAACATTAAAAATCACATATAACGCGCCTTTTATCATGGCTACACCACCCAATTTACAAGCATAGGTCAGGAAAATGAAGACAGAAAATGCATATTACCGGACCTTAGAAATGCCGGTTTTAACATTAAAAAAATAGAGAGTGTAAACGTAAAACTAGCGAAGATCATGATACCAGAAATATGAAAATATGATATAACTAGCCAGGTCAGGACTACAGCTGTTAGAAGAGTCAGTAAACAAGCCAAAATCGAATAACCAGAATATCAGGGTAAATATAACGCGTTATATAAGAAACCAAGTGGAACCCATGACAGGGCAATGACTATGGTGCTAAAACGCTATTTAAATATCGATGTGGACACTAATTGGTCCATGTCACTGTTGAGACCCAAAAAAGTGCCTGAATGGGGTCGCAGTAATGATGTGGCACTGCCAAAACAGGAAATAACATGTATATATATATATATATCAATATAAATAAAGGGGCACTGCAAGCAAGCCTGAAAGCATTCGCCTGCCAATTGGCGCATTCGGTGCAGTCGGGAAGTACAAATTCAAGTGCCGAGTAGGAAGGCAGAAGAGAATCTGAAGATGCCACATCCCGATCGACCATCGCAACACACACAGGAAAACCGGAGCAGCACATCGATCGGGTAAGTGCTTCAACAGCATTAACTTTTTTTTTTCATATGATTAGCCATTTTCTTTTAAAATGCATTGTATACTAAATATTTAGCAAGCAATCCAGTTCAGGACAGGTGTATCCAGGACACAAAATACAAATGAGGAGGAGAAGAAATAAGTGTTTTTCCTCTCTTCCCTAAATATGTTCAAAGGCAGAAAAGGGCCAAATTTATTATTTTATAACGATAATTGAATGGTTGACAAAGCACCTGGTTCCAATATAGATGTGTAAACTTATTTAAATAACCTCACAAAAACATTTTTAAAAAAAGAATGAATATTAGAACTTTTTTGAAGAAACGTTATCCTCTAAAACACACAATTTTTTCACATTTCTTTAAAAATAATCAGCATCAGCCAGCATTCCTTAACTGTAAGGGTAATGCCTACATTTAAATTACCTGAATGAAGTTTGTCCTCTAGACATAAGTCCACACATGAATTTTTAAATCTTGTCTTTTTTTTTCCAAAACTAGCTGGAATTTCACCTCTCTTTCTATAATAATTCATTTATTTCAAATGCCCACCGATTGTACCACATCTACTGCACTCATGCAACAGCTGCTATACTTTGCTACAAATATACTGTACAGATCGTTAAACTCCGACATCCCGTCGTAAAAGCTGGCTTTATCAAAGGCCAAAGTTTTGCACCAAACATATTCTCAGTCACTATTATGACAAAGCATTGTCAACCCTACCCCAAATTCTCCTTAAAATATTAATTGGAATTGAATTTTCCCCTAGAACCTATTTCCTCTAGAACAGCGTTTCCCAAACCAGTCCTCAAGACCCCCCAACAGTCCAGGTTTTGTTAGTATCTCCATTGGAATAAAACAGGGAAATACATAAATCCTGGACTGTTGGTGGGCCATGCGGACTGGTTTGGGAACCACTGCTCTAGAACATGAACTTTTGTTCTACTGAGACACACTTTATTAAAGAGGAAATGTTCTTTTTAAAAAGTATGGGTAGGTAAACTGAATGTTTATTGAGAACAGCCAAGAGAACACACAGCTACAATGTACACAGTTTTCATAGAAAGACTCAAATGGAGGTGTTTCAATGCTCAAACATTTTCTTGAGAATGGATCCAGTCAGCGTTGTAATCCTAGAGAACATAGACTAAAATGATTCCAATGACAACATGGATTATAAGATAGCATTGATTAATTGTAATAATTTTATAATGGCACAACAGCCAATAGAGCACACTGTAACCTTAATTGTGCACATTGTTACAATGTGGGGTACAACAACCAGACAGTAGCATTGTCAACACAGACACCCCATATTCTAACCATGGCCCTAATTGTCATCTAACTTTAATTTTCCATAGAATGTGTGAATTATATGGTGGAGCGCTTAGTATTGGAATATATTCCTTAAAGATCCTTTTCAAATTTGTGTAAATATGTATTTTAAGTGCCAGTTTAATAAGGTGTAACTTCTTAAGTAATTATACCAAACAATAAATATGCAGAGTGTGTAATACTTTGTACATTAATCCCTTTAAAATGCATTTTAACCTTTTGAGCTACTAAAAGAATAACTCATAGGTGTTTTGAGCAGCTAGTTAAAACAAACACACAAAACATAAAAGTATACAAATTATAAGCACCTTATACTACATACATATCTATCCCCGTAACCCTAGTAACAACTCTTACAACATTTCCATTATGAAGAGAGATGTAATAGCACCTTGGACAGCGACCAGCTAAATGTTTTCCATCCAAACCATTAAGAGTTCCTGCAAAACACCATGATCTCTGCAGTAATCTGAGGTGGTCATGGTGCTTGCTGTGTGTTTGTGCACCGTTTTATACTGAAGCTCTGCACATCATTAAGACGTCATTAGCTATTTGGTAAAAAGAGTCCCGGGCTGGTTAATGTGAATTATGTGCATGTTCCATGCATACAAGGTCTTTCATTGTCTGAGAGCCCTCAGCTGACACTCTCAGCCAATGAATGAGTGCCAGGATGCACTGTATTGTAATGATACTTGGAAGGGACCTTTGAAAGGGACACTCTTGGCACTAAAGCTACCAGCACATTAAAATGGTATAGTATCTGAGGTGTGCTGGCATATCTTTTCGTTCAGTATTTTTTGGATATTTTTGACACAGGATGAGGGTCCCCAGCAACCCACAGGAGGTATGCCACACCAATACTGTCATACGAGGAGAGCTCTGATGCTGATGCTCTCAGTTATTTATTGGTGGCCATCACTGCTCGGGCTGATACTTCAGTGTTAAACTATTCTAATATGTTTTAACACAGAGGGGATGGATGGTAGCAGACGACTCGAAGCACAATAACCACTTCAATGAGATGGAATAGTTATAGTGCCTGGAGTGTACCTTTAATGCAAAAGCAACTGGAAAGGTGTTGGCATACAATTTTGCAAATTAGTTCTCAACCTTCCACAGTGAATAGATTTCCAGTTTGTTTCGTTAAAGCTTTCATCTAGAAATCTAATGATATAAAAATATATTTTCATACCTCCCAGAAGTCCTGGGTTCAGTGAGACAGTCCCAAATTTGGGCTGCTGTCCCACTGCGCCAGGTTAGTTCTCTGTCATTCTACGTCTGAGACAACCAGTGACTTCTTCAATAAACCTATGTCAAGGACATCACATGTGCATTGGCACTGTGGAAATTAGACTCAGGGCATTGAGTCAACATTAGAGAGAGATTACTGCATATATAGACATAATGCTTTTACATCTATAATGCTGGCAAAGCATCAAGGGAAATGTAGTCCAAAGCATCTGGAGTGCCGAGGGTTGCCTACCCCATGAGTGGAGCTGACCAGTGCAACTGCAAGTCATTATAGCACACATATTCCAGACTAACTCACTCCGTCTTCGAGTGAGCACACTCTTCACCACATCACCAATGACATGCATGGCATCACTGAAAAGACACCTAGTGGTCTACCCTCCCACAGTCCCACATTCATACCTCTAATTGTGGAGAGCTATGCGTTTTAAATGTGAAGAAAAATTACAGATTTAGTGGTAAGAAGGATTTTACAATCTCAACCTATTTCAGTCTAATTATACCATATTTCTAGTTTTTTGTCGCAGCCACGTGAAATAAAGGCAAAATAGCACCTTTAGCCATTTAAAATAAGCCTACGGAAACATACAGTGTGCTTGACATAATTACAGTTTACACGTGTGTAGCTTTTACATGGCCTCTTGCATGAAAAGTAAGTTAATGTTCCATTACTTGTTACCTAGGTTGCTATGGATACGGAAATTCAGGGAATTACGTACCCAGAGCAAATTCTGGATGATGCTAAGATAATTTCACTGTGTTTTTTTATGAATAAGAATCATTGCATTATTTGCTCTCAGATTTTGAAGACAAGAATTCCTTTAACACATTAGTTCTATGACTTTTTTTTTCATGGAACCAAAGTGTGTACATGGTAATACCTTGATGACCAATTCGTTAACTGCACAAATGGTCCAGTAAAACACTCTTAATTAAGTATATAACAAATGTAATTCGATAAAACACCTACATAAGCATCTTCCAAGTGTGTTACTAGATGCAGCAATGCTGATACAATAAATAATTTTTATTTTCATTATTGTTAATATAGAACTAATTTATCCCTTGTCTTCACAGTGTCTGGGGAAGAGGTTAATACAATGTATAAATAATACAATTTATTTGAAGTACCTCCGAAGCTCTTTGCAAGCTCTCTTGACCTGTAGACGATGAATTGTTCTTTTCCCATAATTCCGTCACATGGCTCAGCTCAGCAAGTTTTTCTTCGGTGTTTATGTGAGAATTTAACAATGTCACTTCGTAAAATTCTTGTATATCTGTAAAAAAAATACATACGGAATCACACATTATATTTCCGAAATTTTTCCTAGATCACTAAATACACTTTTTTTTTATATAGGTATAAATTAGCATATTTGTTCATTTTCTCACTAGTGTCGCAACAAGGTGAAAAAGGGTTAAGATGCCCCTCTACTCTACTCCCATCCCTCTCCCCCCGCCACACACAGACACACCTTATCATTCCAGTCTAAGAAGGATTATTAGATATGCTATAACAGCGCATGCTGTAACACATATACAAATACGTCACACGACTCCAGGTATATATATATTTAATGTCTAAGGCTCTGGTGCTTTTATTAAAGGTTAACATAACACACATGAATCCATTAAATTTACATCAAACTTGCATTAAAACCAAAAATTACCAAGCTGATAAACCAAATAGGTCAACAGCCTTAATTTAAGTAAAAAACACTCTATTAAAGTCTATTCTCCATGGAAAGAGAATCACCTTACCCAAATATTACAACCACAACATCGATAAAATATACATATACAAAAATGACATAATAAATAAAATCAATTAATATAATAGAGAATAACATCAATGAATACATATTTGATCATAATTAAAATTAACTCAGGGAGGGATGGTGGGAGCGCAGTGATTATGGTCTTCTCACGGACAACGCTTCAATGTGCGATCAGCTCGGGTAGGTAAATGCTTTAGTGGGACCATATTTATATAATTGCGCAATTTTAGTGTCTCGCGCTGTACTTATCAGATCAGGTGCCATTAATATTCTACAGCGCAAACTACTCTCGTGCAGAGAGAACTTGCTGGCATTTCGGATCTGGACTGCACGTATGGGTGGGACCAGTCTGATATGCTTCAGATATGTTCTCTCTGTAATGGCACAAGATGAGCTAAAACCAGCTTGAGTTCTGAGCGGGGACCCACCGAAGGGCAGGCTATGTCAGATGCTGTCCGTTCTCAGAATACTCTTGCGACCCGTTTTTTGCTCAAACTACCTACACCTCTGCCAATTAAATTGAAGAAAACGTTCGAGCAGCACAAACATGAGACATGAATGTCCCAGAAACTGGTAACTCCAGACTACGTTATAATCTACTGTTACAAGTTAGTTCTGTATTTCTCTACCTTTAAATCTCACTCAACCTACAGGAAATGAATGAAAACCCACAAATAAAATGTTTTAATTTTTTTTTAAAAAGCAGCACCTATTATGAAAGTGGCAAAAAACTGTTTGCCTTAACTCTTTCTTAACTCGACCCAACAGCGCACCATCGAAGGCTTATGGACATAGAGCCCATAGCATTTTATTCTGAACATTGAGCCCCACCTCCTTCCCCCTCCGCCCACCATACACTTTTTGTAATAACCGCCTAATTTACCTTGAGACCCCCAACTTGATTTATCTACTAAAAGCTTTGCAACTTCCAGTTTATATATATTTTAAAGTTACAAAATTTACTAGAACACATTTTTACAGTATAGAGGTGCAAAACGCACATGGCTTGAGAATAAGGCTAAATATTTTATGTGCGTTGACATTTTTGAAACATGCCCTGGAGAGTACGTGCAATATGGTGTTACATATTTAAACACAAAACATATACAAGAAAATTATGACAGGTGTATAGTCGCCATATGGGCGGGGGGAGGAATATATGACTTGAACGCAACCCACCCAATAAAACACTGACACTCAGGGTTATGGGTCAAATTGTCAACAGCTTCAATGTTAATAAAGATAAAAATAATTATATATATATATATAAAAGGGTCAATACCTGCCACACCCCCCAATCTCGTATCATCTTTCCCATATTTACATCAAGGTAATGACCCACCACATAATACATTTCCAATATATAACAATCATATAATATAACATGTAACATTTCAGCATTGATCAATTTCACCTGGTAGGGGTATACCCAGACACCCCTACACCACCAAGGTTCTGAATCACCAATGGACTCGGAACACCACCGAGGTTCTGAGCCACCAACAGACTCAAAACCTACCAAAACATGTGCAAACAGTGTACCCTTTTAACCAATCAACTAACCAATTAACTAACTCCCCTTACTCCTTAACTAAGGCTCATTATCCTTAATGTTCCTTACCCCACCCTGCCACAAGATCAGACCTTGAAACCTTAAGTCGTCTGAGCTCCGCCACCCCGCAGAAATAACGCCCTGGCCAAGCCTTCCTGCAACCCTAAGTTAAAAAACAGGTCCCACCCTTCATCTGAGAGGTGGACCCCATCGGGGGAGAAATATCCTGCTAACACCTCCTCTAGCTCCCTGTGTCGGACCAGCACACCCCCAACCTTCCTGACAAAGCTAGCCATCAACACGTTCACCTTAGCCCGGCAGCGACCAACAGCTGCCGGGTCCCAAGTGTGCCGCCAACGGAGCCGGGGAACAATTTCCGACCAGACCAGCTGTACCGCAGGGACCCTTGCCCTGAGCCTGTTATCATGCATCATCCGCTTAACCAAGAGAAAGCATGTCCGGTCTCCTACCCCCCGCCACTATCCTGTACACCTCACTGCAAACCTCCTGTCACCCATAGCCCCTGTAGCCAATGATGCCCTCAGCAGTCCCCCAAGCAGGACGTCCCAAGCCACCACATCTCCTCCTGGCAGTCTTCCCTGGTCTCCCATGCCCCGGGCGCCTCCTTCCGGAATCGGAGCCACTGCGAATGAGACAGAGCATCAACTACTTAAGATGTCATTTTATTTAAATATGCTATGGACTTTCAAATCTGAATATCCTACAAACAGACTTTTGCTAATTTAGTAAATGAATAAGCACGCAAAACACCACATTTAGGGACATGCAGAGCAAGACAAACTTCCACAGCAGGTGCACCACTGGCACCGAGGGGGCCGACATGTTATTAACTGCATGCACCACTGCCTTATTATCTGTGTAGAAGACCACCTTTCTGTCGCTCAGGAGTGCACCACAGAGTGACAAGGCGACCAACAATGGGAACAGCTCCAGAAAGGCCAAGTTCCGTACTAATGGGCTCCCCAACCAGGCCTCTGGCCAGGGCGCTGCACACCACTGCCCGCCAAAGTATGCCCCAAATCTCACGCTACCTGAGGCGTCCATATACAGCTCCAATTTGGCCGCTGACACTGCCTCCCACCTGAAAAACAACGTGCCATTGAAATGCTCCAGGAACATATCCCAGAGCCCCAGGTCAGCCCCAGGGCCGGACTGGGGATACAAAGCAGCCCTGGAAAAAAATCTATGCCAGCCCCGCAGCATGGCGTGGGAAAAAAAAGGTGAGTAAAAACACTATTTTTAAACACACACACAGACACACACATGCACCATGACAGACACATACATATACCATGACAGATGAAAGACACACACACACCATGACAGACACACACATACCTTGACAGACACACACACACTGACAGACTGACACATAATATAGCTACCTGTGGGTGACCGGACAAGAGTCTTGCAGGGCAGACAGCTGGGTCAGCGCGCAGCTTAATAAGACCGGATTATTAAGACCCAGCATCATCCGTGACCGTCCCCGCCGTTGTCGGTGCCCCAGACCCCGTACTCGCAGACCCCTCCGCAGCCCAGACCTGTCCCACATGAACCTGAGGAGCCCCCTGAATGCCCCAAGAGTCAATACTGTGTTGTAAAGAGGATAGTAAACTCAGTGAATGTGCATTGTTAGACGTCTGCGATGGCCCTGGGGCTGCTCCTTGATGACCCAGAGGATTAGAAGGGGAGACAACCAGACTCAGGGAGAATTCGAGTGCCCCCCGGAGGAGCTAATAGACTTCAATGCCCACCTGGGGGCGTGGCCTCCCCCCGGACGCACCGCTATCTGACTCCAATGAGCCGTTGGCCCCAATGCCAAAAGGACTCCCTCCCTGACCCCTTCAGACCTCGGTGACCTACTACTGCGCGACCTACTCCGACCAACTCGCTCTGTGCACGGCACGACCCCTGTGGTCCGTCTGCCCACCGCAGCCGGCCATAGCTACCAAGGTGCGACCCCGGAGGCCTACATGCTCCTTCGCCATGAGCTCCACGCTCCAAACTTACAATGCACTGTTCCAAATTATTACGCACAGTAAGTTTCAAAACACTTTATAGATTGTAAAGAACTGAAAATTGTCATTTGTTGTGTTTGCACCATATTTACTGAAATCAAAAGCTATCTCAATCAAACTTTGATTTTGATTTGATCAAACATTTTAACTTTTTAAAAATTTTAACAGGTCACGTTACATTTTAACATAGAAACCCTTATTTGATAGCAGCTTTACAAGTCTTGCATCCATTGAACTTGTGAGTTTTTGTTTGCAAGATGTCAGAATAGCCTCCCAGAGATGCTGTTTGGATGTAAACTGCCTCCCACCCTCATAGATCTTTTGCTTGAGGATGCTCCAAAGGTTCTAAATAGGATTGAGGTCAGGGGAGGATGGAGGCCACACCATGACTTTCTCTCCTTTTATCCCCATAGCAGCCATTGATGCAGAGGTATTCTTTGCAGCATGAGATGGTACATTGTCATGCATGAAGATGATTTTATTACAGAAAGCATAGTTCTTCCTTCTGTACCAGGGAAGAAAGTGGTCAGTCAGAATCTCCACATACTTTGCAGAGGTCATCTTTACACCTTTGGGGACCCTAAAGGGGCCAACCAGCTCTCTTCCCATGATTCCGGCCAAAAACATGAGTCCACCACTGCCTTGCTGACGTTGCAGCCTTGTTGGAACAGGGTGGCCGTCCACCAACCATCCACTACTCCATCCATCTGGACCATCCAGGGTAGCACGGCACTCATCAGTGAACAGGACTGTTTGAAAATTAGTCTTCATGTATTTTTCTGCCCAATGCAGCCGTTTCTGCTTGTGAGCATTGGTTAGTGATGGCCGAATAGAAGGTTTATGCACAGTTGCAAGACTCTGGTGGACTCTACACCTTGATGTCTGTGG